TGTATTATTTTATTTTAAATGATTTGTTTAATTTAATTTATTTTAATTAAAGTATTTTTATTTTATTTTGTATTTTATATTTTATTTTATTTTTCATAAATTTTATTTGTTTTATTTTATTTTTATTTTTTATTGATTGTTTAATTTAATTTAATTTAAATTTTTAATTTAATTTAATTTTATATTTTTATTTAATTTAATTTTTATTGATTTGTTTTGTTTTATTTTTATTTTTTTATTGATTTGTTTATTTAAATTTAATTTAAAGTTTTAATTTAATTTAATTTTATATTTTTATTTAATTTTATTTTTATTGATTTGTTTAATTTAATTAAATTTATTTTTGATTTTAAATGTTTTATTTTATGTCTTATACATTTATTTTATTTTAATTATTTTAATTGTTTTTTTAATTGTTTGTTTTGTTTTATTTTTTATTTTTTATTGATTTGTTTAATTAAATTCAATATTGTATTATTTTTTATTGCTTTGTTTTATTTGAATTTTTTATTGAAAAGTTTAATTGAATTTTTATTTATTTTGTTTATTTTATATTTTTATTTTATTTTCAGCCACATCTAGAACAAGAATAATTGGACTTAAAAAGTCGGCCTTAAAAAGCATCACAATGTAGCTTCAAAATACTAATTAATTGACATTTGCAATTCCTTTCAAACAACTAGGTTTCTCCCATTTATCAGCAGGATTTTTTTTAATTGTTTTAATTATAATTCAATTTAACATAATCACTCATTGTTTTACATTAAGCACAGGTAACTAATAAAACTAATATTATGTTCATTTTATCTTAAGCAGTCTATAAAATGTGCATAAAATAAGGCATGAATATATTTTGTGTAGCAGGAATGACCAAGTTATTGTCTGCACGTGTTGGTTATTCGACGAAAGACATGTTATTATGTCTGCTTTGTGTACATCTCTTTTATTTCTCTTGAATGACTTTGTGTGTCAATACATGTGTTTATATCTTATAAACACATGTGTAGAGTTCTGTGTGTAAACTTCTGTCAGCGTTGTGTGTGTGTGTTGACTCTTCGCATCATTTATTACCTTTGTTTGCATGTGCAGCAGCTGCATTTGCCTTTGTGAACACTTTTGTTTATTGGCTTGAATTTGGAGTCAGTGTGTGTGTGTGTGTGTGTGTGTGTGTGTGTGTCAATGAGCACTGAGTCCTGTGTGTGTTTGTTTGTTTATCCCTGCCCGACTCCAGGCCCTTTGAGTGGTTGTGGTTTTCCTTTCCCTGTCCCTGTGTCTCATCTGGGCCCAAAGTCTGATGATATCTGTTCCGTCTTTGTAGTGGACCTGGATAAAGGACCGTACGGCCTGGGAATGGGACTGATCGATGGACTTGTGAGTGTGTGCTTTATTTCTCTGGCATTTAACTTTGGTGCTCAATGTTATAAGCATATAAATATGACGCTATAGATATTTTTCCAAAGCCCAGACAGAATGTTGTAACAAGCTCATTTAAAAATCATTTAAATTTAAAACACTAACAAATTTGCTAACCACTGGGCCACCGTGCCGCCCTATGGAGGGAAAGGTGAAGAGGTAGGGGTGGAAGGGGGGATTCTTCAAATCGAAGATGACTGTAGTGGAAAAAAACCCTGGCTCTTTATAGTGGTTTAGGAATGGCCTGATTGGTGGATCATACATGCTAATGCAGAACCAGCCGTGTTCAATCATAATCACTTGATCCTCTTGAATTTGCTTTTAGAAATAGCCTATAAATAGGTCTCTGTTTGCTTCTCTCTCCATAAATACAGCACACCCCTCTGAACTCTCCTGGAATCTACATCAGGACTCTGATTCCAGATGGACCTGCTGCTGCAGATGGACGACTCTGCATCGGTGACAGGATCCTGGCAGTGAACGGAACCAGTCTCATTGGAGCAGACTATCAGAGGTCAGTGCTCTACATACACCGCCAGCTTGTGGTTAAAAGGATAGTACACCCAAACATGCAGATTTACTCACCTTTAAGTGGTTCCAAACCTTAATTTGTTTTCTTTTTTTGTTCAATACCTGTTTGAGTTTCTTGCTTCTGATGAACACAAAAGAAGATATTTTGAAGAATGTTGGAAACCAGTGACTATAGTATAAATACTATGGCAGTCAATGGTTACTGGTTTCCAACATTCTTCCAAATATCTTCTTTTGTGTTCATCAGAAGCAAGAACTTTAAACAGGTTTGAAACAAGTGAATAAGGGTGAATAAATTATGACATAATTTTTATTTTTTGATGAACTATCCCTTTAATGGGTCATGAACACTAAACTAGAGATTTAAACAAGGGTGTTGGTGTTACATATACATGTAATTAAGGAAAACAATTAATTTAAAACTTTGTTTAACTGTTTTTAAATTTACATTGTGTCCACGTGACAAATAGTGATGTGGAAAATGGCTGCGGCAATCAGTGAAGCATCGGTATCATGTAATTATTTATGAGTCCTCCTTATCCAATGAGACAATGCTTCTCTTAATTATTCATGACAGCATGCATTTTCCTATGACAAACACTTCAGACAGTCTGAATACCAATTCATGGATCAAAAGTGATTGCTTGTTTTTGCTGAGGAAGAGTTTCTGCATGAAATGAATCTGAGTCTTCAATACAAGCATGTTTTATTAACATTATAATCGACTTTAAAAATGTACATATCTTTACTGCTATCATTATAACTGATCCAACATCACAGGTAAATGGAAAAAAAACAACTACAATGCATTCATATATATAGTATTTTCAAGGGAGTCTACCAGTGTCTGGATCGAGCAATAAAAAAAATAAAATAAAAAAAAATGCTTACTTGAAATTGCGGCAGTGATGTAGGTGTAACCCCTCCTAGTTCATATGTTTTTTAATAATGATCATGCGGAAGCAGTTTAGCTGAGCAAATTCACTTTATAGTGTTCTCCGAAAAAAAAAAAACAGGGTTCCACACAGACAAGTGTACCAGGTCTGGTCACTGGCTGACTCCACCCATTATACCCCCTTTCTCACCTGTATGTGTCTATCTTTCCCCATGATGTATTACACAGTTTAACAATGAACATAGGATTTTGATTTAATTAGAACAAATATTTTTTAACCAAAAACAAGCATTTTGACACCGTTCATACTTAATTTACAGTTTCATTTTTTCCCCCGTTACATAGGGAGTAATATTTTATTCACATAGCAGACTGTAAAAGCATTCATTTAAACAACATTAATACACATTTCAAAAAGTGTCAATACAATGTCTAATTAGTATTTATTAAACCTAATCTGTCTTTTATTAAAACCTCATCTGTGTTTTTGTGTGGGGTTAGGGGTAGGTGTATGTGTAGGGTTTTATTGTCCCAATAAGGAATACATTTTCTCATTTACAAGCAATATGGTATTATTGTTTTAACATGCTGTAACTTTCATTCATTATTTTTTTTTTTTCGGCTGAGTGTCTGATTTAGCAGAGGTCGCCACAGTGGAATGAACCACCCACTATTCCGGCATATGTTTTAGACAGCGGATGCCCTTCCAGCCACAACCCAGTACTGGGAAACACCCAAACACTCTTAAGCTGGATTTATACTTTTTACTTTCTGCAAATATCTGCTGTTTATTTTCAGTGCTGGTTATTTTTCCTTCTTTTTTGTATTTAATTATATTGGTCACAGGATGCTCTTCTTCTAATGTAACACACGTTTATTTTTTGTGTGTAACGGTGAATTAATGTGCATTTGTGGGTGCATTTGATGCTTTTAACTTAATGACAGTTACAATGTAACTGAAGTGGACAATTTTACCATCCACCTTTGCAACATTTCTCGAAAGTGAACTTTTATTAAATGTGATTTCTTGAGGGGTGACACGGTGGCTCAGTGGTTAGCACTGTTGCCTCACAGCAAGACGGTCGCTGGTTCGAGTTCCAGCTGGTTCAGTTGGTGTTTCAGTGTGGAGTTTGCATGTTCTCCCTGTGTTGCCGTTGGTTTCCTCCAGGTGCTCCGGTTTCCCCCACAGTCCAAAGACATGCGCTATAGGTGAATTGAAAAAGCAAAATTGTCCATTAGTGTATGTGTGTGAATGAGTGTGTATGGGTGTTTCCCAGTACTGGGTTGCAGCTTGAAGGGTATCCGCTGTGTAAAACATACGCTGGATAAGTTGGCGGTTCATTCCGCTGTGGAGACCCCTGATGAATAAAGGGATTAAGCCAAAAGAAAATGAATGAATGGTTTCGTGATCATTTAATATTTGCAATCACACTCAATAAATTACTTACGCTGCTTTTTCAAACTACTTATTTAAAAACACAATACTTATGTTTTTTTTTGAACAACTTCATTGGTTTATTTTCAATCCACTTAAATTTGCAACAACGTTTAAGTTAACTTGATTGATTTGTGTTGGGACAACATGAAGGATTCGTGTGAAACCCAGCATATTTTACAGTGCAAAGCCATTACATTTTCCCCATGCAAGTTCTGTCAATCCTGACATCTGAATCTCTCTTTGTCTGTCTCTCAGTGCTGTGGATTTGATTCGTCTGGGGGGAGGACGGCTCCGGTTTCTTGTCGCCAAATCAGATCTCGAAGTATCAGAGAAGATCAGTGCCTCTTCCTGCTGAGAGAGAGGCTGCAAGTGTGACCCTCTACCTAGACGAAATATGAGGAGGACAGAGAGTCCTCAGTCTCGAGACTGGAGAACAAGCACACTATAGGACCTCTCAGCGCCTACAGCCCCTCTGTCTCTTACACAGCCCTGTACAATACTGCACTCAATCAGAAAAACAAACAGAACAACATCTCTGTCTTTACCTCTTAACCAGTCTGGTTTTGTCTCTTGAATGTCAAGGAATATTGAAGAGGAATGTGTTTGTGCACATTATATGGCTAATACTAGATAAACCGTAGGTCTCAAACGCGATACTTGGAGGGCCGCAGCTCTGCACTGTTTTGCTCCAAACCTAATCTAACACAGCTGATCCAACTAATCAAGGGCTGCATCCGACATCGCCTACTACTCAGTAGATACTACATTTGAATTTAAGTGCACTACTTGAATGTTCTATACAGTATGAATGTGAGCGGTATGAATGGAACTCACGTACTACATCCGCCATTTTATCATGACCGCATGACCTACTGTACCCTCATGAGTTGCATTGCTTTACTCCCTTTCATGAATTCTGTCACGGGGCATCATGGGATAGTGCAGCGTGCAACAGATGCACACTTCAGAATCTCGCCGGAAGTAGTAGGTCACCTGGGTACTTTTCACCCCTGCTGAAAAATCCAGCTTAAACCAACCTAGGATGGTTGGCTGGTTTTAGCTGGTCAGCCAGCCTGGTTTTAGAGGGGTTTTGGCCACTTCCAGGCTGATTTACAGCCATTTTCAGTCTGGTCTTAGCTGGTCAGGCTGGAAAGTGACCAGCTAAAACCATCTAAAACCAGCTTGACCATCCTGGTTTAAGCTGGACATAGCTGGTTTTGGCTGGTCTTCCAGCCTGGCTAGGCTAATCAAGCTGGTTTAAGCTGGTAATTCCCCAGCCTGTCTAGCTAAACCAAATGACTGGAATGGCTGGAAATGCCTGGAAGTGGCCAAAACCCCTCTAAAACCAGCCTGGTCGACCAGCTAAAACCAGCCAATCATCCTAGACTGGTTTAAGCTGGATTTTTCAGCTGGGACATACTGTTTTTCGAGTTCTATGAACTCAGAAATACTACTCGGCTTGCATACTGTTTTTAGTGTACTATATAGTATGGAATTATGCGATTTCGGATGCAGCTAAGGTGTTCAAGACTACTAGAGACTAATAACAAAGACTATAGAATACACCCGAGCATACTGCCAGAGAGGCGCTTCAAAGATGGCCGCTGAGTGAAATGACAATGGCTATTAAGCAGGTGTGAGTTAGAGGTGTTTGGAGCCAAACTATGCAGAGCTTCGGCCCTCCAGGAATTAGGTTTGAGACTATTGATATTAACATATAGCTGACACGGGGTCTTAAGATGATTAATTTTCTTTAAATAATAAAAAAATGTAAAATAAATAAATAAAAAACAGTTACAGTTAAACTAACAATAAAAACATCTCAATGACCTTCCTAAAAGGCACATGAGTCTTTTGACAAATATCTTATTCTTGATGGTTCATAAAAAAACATTTGAG